TTTCAGCTCAGGTCGTGATCTCAGGGTCATGAGATCGAGCCCTGCGTGGGGCTCTGTGCTCAGCGCCGAGTTTGCTTCCAGGTTCTCCCTCTCCCCTGCCCCTCCCTGCTGTGTTCTCAGGCTCTCTAATTAAAAAAAAATAGTCAGTCTTAAAAAAAAAAAAAGCTGCTTTTGAAAGAGAGATAATTTGTTGAAGATGACACAGAGTATTTGAGGTGGGAAAAAATGGCTCATTTATTTTTCAACTGTTTATGGAGTATCTGCTAGGAGCTAAGCACCATTCAGAGAGCATAAAACGGATGCGATATCTGCTCTCATGGGGCTTATATTCTAGCGGAAGGGTCAGGGGTCAAGTAAACATACAGTTCTTACAAACTGTAACAAGTAAAAGAATAGTGTCTCATTCAAGAGAACAGAAGAATCTTAAACTGTGAAATCTGGGTGGCCTCTGATGAGGTCAGGCTTCAGACCTGAATAAGAAGTAGGAATATGCTGGAAAAAGGTGGGCAAGAAGAGCATTTCAGACAGAGATCAACACATGGAAAAGTTCTGAATTGGGATGAAGTAGTGATTTGTTTTGGAAACGGAAGCAGGCGGATATAGTTTAAGAACAGAAATTCAGGGACTGGGAAGAGGCCTTCACAGAGCCTCCCGATTACAATGAAAAGTCAGTAAACAATTTAAAGCAGGAAAGTGATGACATTTACATTTTGAAAATCTCACTTGGCCAGTGTGTGGGGAAGAGACGGGAGGCAAGGCAAAAATGAAGGCGGGAAGTTCGGCCGGAAATCGTCTGCTGGAGCAGGTGACGGCGGATGGTGACCTGTCCCGTGAGGATATTTGAGCGGTGGCCGGATTACAGAGCTACACCACAGACGGGACCAGCGGGCTTTGATGATGGACTGGATGTGTGGGAAAATATTCTAGGATGACACACAGAGGTTTTAGCCCGAGCAGCTCAGGGGCTGGAGGTGTTCTTTATGCCAAGATGGGGGTAGATTGATGGAGAGGCAGATTTGGGGAGGGAGCTATGGCGGCAATCAAGAGTTCCGGTTCGGATACATGAAGCCTGAGATGCCTTGGAGACAGACAAGTGGAAAAGGTCTATCGACACACACACACCTGTACTGCAGGTGACCGCGTATCACACAGGCCATCTACCGCCATTGGGATGGATACAATTCCCCTGGGAAAGGATCAGATGGGGAATGTCCTGATGAGTTGTACTCAGGTAAGACAGAGAAAATGCTAGAACAGCATAAAGCTAACAGATGGGAGTGATTCAAGATGGAGGGATCTGTCAACTACGCGGAATATTGCTGAAAAAGTGAGTCTCTCAAAACCACCTGCTGGCTCGGTAACAGGGAAATCACAAACTGCGCCCGAGTAATTCTGGAATGGATAGAAACTAGCTTTGTTTGGACTGGTTTGGCAACAAAGGTGGGCAGGTAGAGTCCAAGTCTCATCAACATTGGCTCTGAGGAAGGAGTAGAGATGGGCAGGAGCGAGTTATGAGCTCTGCAGGTTTCACCCAGGCCAAGGGTCTCCCAGCCCCAGGCTGACCACAATTCCTTTACCACTCTAGAAGACTGACGCACACGGGCTCAGAGAGAGTGGGGAACTGTTAGCCATTGTCTGTTCTCCCCTTGACCTCAGCTTCACCTCGTTCATCCTTGAAACATGAACCCCATTCTTTGTCCACACCTCACTCTGGAAACCTCTTGGGTGGCGTACTTTAGCTTTCTAAACCGTTTCATCACAAAGATTTTATGTCTCTGTTGAAAGCCCCTGCATGCTGTGGAGGTAGGAAGAAAGTATAAAGAGCCTCTCTGCATTGGTTCAGAAGACGGGACCTCAGCCTTCTCTCTTCCAGGTCATTCTGTCCTAGGCCTTTCCCAGCAGACCCTGGCCTGCCTCAGGACCTCACCTCCCAATGCTCTCCTACTCGAAAGCCCCACCCTGGCCTCCTTATGCTCTCCTAAGACACCTGAGACTTTCCTGTCCCCATGTATTTGCTGTTCCTCCCTTCTAGAACGAGCCCCCTCCTTATCCAGCTGAATCTTACCCATTGCTCACATCCAGCTCCAGTCCTTCTGCCTCTAGAAGACCTTGCCTGGCCTCCTGCCCCTCTTCCCAGAAATTCTGCTACACCACTTGGGAGCAAAGCTTTGTTCTGCACGTGCCCCTCCCTCTCTCCTACATGAGGAACTATGAAGCTGCCTGCTTGGTCCTTTGCTTTCTGAGAGGTGCTTGATGGATATTTGTTTATTGATGGGATGATTGACAAAAAACCAGAGGCCCTTCCTTCCCAAAAGATGAAGACTTGGATCGGGGCTGCACTCGCGGGGTTCACCAGGGCCAAAGGAGAAATAGATAAGAGGACGTGAGTATTCACCAGCCTGGGTTCTATGCAATCATGTGAGGAAGTTCCAAATCACTTGAGTTCAAGTTCAAATTAAGCTCCAGCCATCATGAACATCAACTATTTCAAATGCTCCTTCAGAAACCTACTCCTTCTTGGAAATGCTGAAACTTTAAACCACAAAAGCTCATGTTTTCTTTTAAGTCTGTCACCAGAAGTTTCTTGCCATTTTAAATTGTGGATTTCCTCCGGCAGTCCCTTTTAAAATGTTGAAAAGGCAGCTTTCTAACCTATACCCTCTGATCATATCATGCTTCATGTAACAAGAGCATTGCACGGGGTGAAAATTCAGCCTCTGGTGTTTTTTTCCCCCCACTCAAGATACTGGCTAAAGTGTGTAATAACAGACTGTGCAGACTTTCATGCAATATGAGGTCCCACGAAAGAGTCTGCACTGGCTAAGTTTTCAGGGCATAAATATTTTGTGGGTTCCGTCAAATTTGGCCTCCAAAGTATGCTTAAACAGAGCAATTACTACAAGTGTGAAAACAGGTGGGCTCTGGATCCGGATCTCCAATAATATTCTTCACAATTTCTTGGGTTTTGTTTTGCTTCCATTGATATAAACACCAAGAATCTTAAAATACCGCCAGCAGTAATTTCAAAGCAAAGCTCTTTTCCAAGCCCCAGAGGCAAGAATTCAGCAAGGGAAGGTCAGGGAGTAAGTGCCGCTCAGACCTAACACCGGTTCATCCCCGATAAAGCTGGTTCCACTGTGGACACACGCTCCCCAGATTCAAAAAGTTCAACTACTGTGTTTATAACTTAGCTCTGCTTTTCCTGAGGTAGAATACATTTTCTTTTATGGAAAGAAATTATTTATTTGTTTGCTTTTGCTTTACTGATTCACAACAGATACAAAGCCACAGAAAGACCTCACTGTGTAGTCTGGGGAAAAGTGAGGCTGTTTTGGCTCAGTCCTTCCCGGCTTCCTCTGCAGGGGGACCAGACTGCAATTACTGACCCCCCCCTCGCCCCCGCAAGGTGCACACTGCCATCAGGGCCAGGACAAAAGGGAAGGCCTTTCCCTGGCTTGGCTGGAAATAATGGGTTTCTAAAAGAACATCTTTAAGAGACCTCTGTGTTTTGATATAATCATCCTTTGGAGGGTGTGTCTGTTTTTAAATGGCATGAATCACCCAAAATAATATGTCCCCCATTGCTTACATCCGGCTGTCTTCCAGAAAGATAAGAACAGAGTGAACAGAGGCATATAGGAAGAAACTAGGCTCTCGCCCATCTTCACGGGGAATGAGCTTCCTCCAGCACTGAGTTTTTATGCTTAAAGAGAAAAGTTCAAACTCTGTGGGTAAGGCAGGGGGGACAAAACAACCCGCCAAAATTCCTTTCAGCACCTATGACTAGTGTTAACTTCCAGGCTCTCAGAGTGCAGTACAAAGCCTGTGAACTGCCATTACAAAAGATAGTTTCGCGTTTCAAAATAGAAACTCTTTTGCCCCATATATTCAACGCATGAACCTTGGGAGCTCCAGTCTTCCGCTAATACATGAAATGAGGCTGGGTTTCCAGAAAAGGGTTTCTCTAGAGGCTGCAGGCTAATTAGCGTGCTCTAGACCAACACCGTTAACACAGGTACAATGCAGGCCCCAAAGCTTTTAGCCCCTGTGGTCGCCAACTGCTCAGAGCCGGCTTCTGCAAGGAGGCCGGCAGGGAGTTAAGCAAGTGAGTAACTAAAAAGTCCTGGATGCGACAGCCCGCAGCCTGCGGTTCTGGGGAGGCTGCGGGCTCCCGGTAGCGGCCGCGGAGTCGCCGCCGTGCGGGGTCTCGCCGCAGCCGCCCACCTCGGCGCGCACCGAGCGGCGCTGCTGAACAAGTTGGAGAGCTCCCAGCTCGCCGACTGGATTCGCCGGTGGGCGCTGGGAAATCCCTCCCGGCGCCGCAATTAGCAAAGTTCTGGAGCAAGTAAGGACCCTGGACAGCCAGCAGACGTGTACTTTCCGGAGCCCAAGGAAAACCCCGCGCGGCGCCAGCCCCAGGATGCTCGCACAAGGTGCCTTCCCGCTCCCCACCGCCGCACAACTCGTCCAGAGGGCGCCGAGCCAGACAGGCGGCTCTGCCGGGTTTGCGGCTCTGAATGGAAACGCCTGCAGGCTTCCCGGCCTGGGGCACAAGGGCTCGACTTCAACAGCCGAGGGAACAAGGGCACAACCAGCAAGTCCGGTTCGGACGCCCGGGACCTTCTTCTCCAAGCCCTCTCGGGCTTTTCCAAAGGACGCGCGGCACAGCCCGTGCGCCCCCGGCACTCCACGCCACTCCACGCCACTCCTCTCTCCACAGGTCCCCCCAAACTCTTCCCGGGAAGCCCCATCAAGCCGAGACGGCGCCCAGAAACTCCCAGGGCACTCGCCAGCCACCCCCACGCCCGTCTCTCGAACCCTCCTTGTCGCGTTCTCGCCACCCCGCACCGTCCTCCTGGCGTTCACGGGGAGTCAGAAGCAAACCACGAGAAAATGCCTTCGCGAGGAGCCTCCCTACACCCGCCCTGTCACTGAAACAAAAGCGCAGGGAGGAGGGAGGTGGAAGAGGAGGCGGGAGGAAGGTTTAGAAAGAGGATGGGGAGAGCGTTAAGAAGGAGCTGAGGAGGAGGGTCGGGGTGGGGAGCAGAGACGGGGCCAGGGACCCCGCTCCGGCTCCGCGCCGCCGGTCGCTTACATGCCCAGGTCGCTGTAGGTGTTGAAGAACTCCATCTGGTTGCACGCCTGGATCCAGCCCACCACCCAGGTCTCGTGGCGGGGGATGGGGGGCATGACCACGCGGGCCGAGGCTTTGAAGTAGGGGGTCTTGTAGCGCAGGACGATGGGCGAGGTCTCCTCGATGCGCGTGGGGCACTGGTCGATGGTGGCGCACACATCGTACACCACGATGTTCTCGCGCCGGATCCGCGCCTTGCAGGTGATGCTTTGGATACAGCCCATCCTGCCGCCCGGCGCCGGCGCGGCGCGGCGTGGGGCAGCGCGGGGGCCCGCGCGGGCAGCCGGGGGCGCCCGTCACGCCGGCATGGCGACGCGCCGCCCGCTCCGGGTCCGGCTCAGCTCGCGCCCGGGAGCCGGGAGCCGCCGCCGGGCATCCTCCGGGGAAGCCCCCTCCTCCGGCCGCAGCGCGGGGTCCCCGCCGCCCCGACGCCCGCCCGCCGGCCCCCGCCCACGCCCGCCCCCTCTCTCCGGCAGGGCGCGCGGAGCGTGCGCTCCTAGGAGGCGGCGGGCGCCCCCGCCGAGGGCAGAGGGGGGAGCGGCGCTGCGCGGAGCGGTGCCCACCCGGGGCCGGAGCCCCCCGCCCCTCGCCGGAGAGGAGGAGGAGGAGGAGGAGGAAGAGGCGGCGGCGGCGGCGGCGGCGGCATGGAGCCGGGGGAAGGGCGGCGGCGGCGGCAGCGCCCGGTCTGTCTGCCTCCGCGGCGGCAGCAGCAGCAGCAGCAGCCGCAGCCGCCGCCGCCGCCGCCGCTGCATGAACCTCTGCACCGCGGCTGCCCCCCGCGTGCAGCGCACCCAGCGGCGGGCGAGCGGGCGGCCCGAGCGGCAGGCGGAGGCGGCGGCGGCGAGGGCGGCGGCGGAGACCCGCGCGGCCGCCGGCCCCGCCCCGCACTCCCCTGCCCGGCCGCTGGGGCTGGGGGGCGCCGGGGGGCTGCGGCCGGGGGTGGAGGGCTCCTCGGGCCGGGCTGCCCGGGACGTGATCCGCGGAGGAGCCTGGCTGTACGCCATGAGTTTTGTCCCTCTCCGGCTGCCGTCCGGGTGGCGGGCGGGGGGTGATGGTGTGTAAGGGGGGGGTGTTTAAAGGGCCGCGGGCGCCGGGGTGGGGCCCTGCACGTGGGGCCGGCGCGGGGCGGGGCTGCGGTAGGTGGTGCCGGGGTGGGCGTGGGGGTTGGGGGGTGTCTCCGGCCGGGCCCGGGTGGGGCCGCGGTGGGCGCTGCGCTCCCGAGTCCGGTGGGTGCCGGTCTGGGGCCGCCGGGAGCTAGGGGAGCGGCTGTCTTCGGCTGGTGGGTTATTGTAATGTGGTTTGTTAGGCTGGAGTTAGGCTTGAGCTCCCCTAGTGCCCTACCTTGAGGAATCCTCCCGGAGCGGCTCCGAATGCGGTGGGTTTACGTCTTTCCCCGACTGGATTTGCTCTGGAAGCTTTTCTCTCCGCCACCAGACGTAGGGAGGGCACCCAGGGAACCGCCTCCCCCACCCCTGAGCCCTAACACCGCGTCACCAAAATGCCAAGAGTTTGGGTTCTAGCATGAGCTCAGCTTTTACTCATCTCCTGCCTTCATCTAAATCTTTTCTTTCTGAGAAAATGCTCTTTCAACAAAACCCCCCACACTGGGGCATTAGAACAGCGGTGGACTCACACTAAACACGACGTTTTGATCGTACCTGTCCTGGAGCCAGGTCGTGCCTGCATGGCCATCTAGCTGGATTAGAACGCTGAGCAACCTTCTTGAGGTTACCCAGGGTAGCCTGTGACCTGCTAAGAACAAGGGGAACTTGGGAACATTTTTGGAACCAGGCTGGATTTAAATAGTAACGGCTTAATGATACAAGTCCAGGACACCGGTCTGTAGTAACCCTGGAATCTCAGGGGCCCACCCTTGTCCTAGCTTCTCCAGAGCACAGCACGTGGGGGCTGACCCGCAAGTCGTCTGTGAATGAATGAGGGACTAAAGAAAGAGCAACCTCACTGTCATGGCCCTATGGTAACCGCTACTGTAGGTATTGGACATTGTGTGCAGTATGACCCAAGCCATGCCTGGGATATTGTGGTCCGATGTACCAGATGGGAAATGATGTTTAGCAAATGCTCTTTCTGGGCATCTTTTTACATTTAAAAGCCCAATAGCTTTTCTTTAAGTATTTCTTCTCTGATCATAGAACATGTTGCAGGATCTGGTGCCCAAGTGTGAAATAGTGACTCCTAGTCTGCAGGGGGCTGACTATGGTTAGTCTTTAGCTAGGACAGATGTGATGAGTAATTTAAAAGTCAGTTAAGATAAAAGCATTCTTCATCCTTGTTTTAAATTTTCTGGCACCTTGATTCACTTTGTAGTTAACCAAAAAGTCGTTTTTGCCTTTTGATAACACGCTTCGGTTATTACCTCGCTACAGATCTCAATCACTCAATCCTTTCATTCAGGAGATGCTCATTGACTTCCTGACAGGGGCCGAGCATTGTGCTACACACTAGGATTCAGAGATGAACGGGAGCTCACGGATCACTGGAGACAGACCTGTTAACAAGATGTTAGCGTGTGCTGTGACACATACAAAATAGTGGTGTTTATCCAGTACTGTGGGGGGCCAGATGGGCCAGCCCCTCCGAGATACAGCCGTGGCTCTCTTGGAGTAGTGACATTTGAATTGGATCCTGAAGGCACTGTGAGAGGCTCTCGGAGAAGACGAGAGTTTTCAGGCAGTGTAGGACAAGAGTTGGGCAAATGCAGAGTGCATAGAGGTCTGCAAGAATGCAGTGTACTCAGGGAGATAAAGAGCTCACAGCCAAGGCGTTTCTCAGTGTTGGGTGCAGACCGAGGGCATCTGAGTCACTGGCCAGGAACCAGTTATCGATAGGACGCTATCTTGATCTTCACTGGAAGCCAATGAGTGCAAGGTTTGCAGTTTGAGAAAAATTACCCGGTATCCTTTTGGAGGATAGAGCAAGGATGGCTTCAACGCAGGGGGTCAGGGTATTGTGATGATAGATGATTTGGCCCAGAGCTAGGGCAGTGCCATGGGGCTGGAGAGGCCTGGCTGCATTTGAGAGTCATTTAAGAGGTAAAATCGATTTACTTGGTAACTGATTAGATGTTGGGGAAAGAGTCTGGCCAACTCTGAATTTCCTGGCTTCAGCAATAAATACATTTGATTTAGTAATAGTCAAAACAAGCAGACAGAATTGGAAGCACATTGAGATTGTGGGTTGTCATGCTAAGTTTGAAGTACAGGGAGGGTATTTGGGGGGCGGGGCCAGAGTTTGAGTCCCAGCGGTTATGAGGTTCCAGGAAGTAGACGGAGAGAAAAGCACTCAATGGGCGGAATGTAGTTAATTGTTGTCAGGATGCAATGTTGTGGATAAATATCATCCTTGATCTTCTGGTAGCACATATTAAGCCTTGGTAAACTGGGCAGAGCAATGGCAGCCTTCTCCAAGTGGTAGATAAAGCATATAAAGGAGAAAATACCTACTTTCCAAATTTAAGATGAGGCCTTGTAGAGTACCAATGAAATATAACTCATTATTCACAGACCTAGACCCTTGACATTCTCAAAGGATTCATCCATGACCTTCGTGAGCCTCCAAAATCATGAATGTCACCATGACATATCATTTCCACTATAAAAATCAGTAAAGTGTGAAAAATGTAAGGGATCCTTTTAAACTCTTAATGGTTCTATAAAGAGGGGACCAAGGTGATTTCTAAAGTGACTTAAATAAATTTTTCCATTAAAATAAACTCCTTACTTCATGACATCTGTACCTTATTAACTCCATGTTTCCCTGGCTCTGCAAATCAAATAAAAAAAAAATCTTAGCCACAGTAGGAGTGTGACTTCATAGATGTCAAAGAGAAGAGCAGAGCTGAACTGTGTGGGGACATGAATGCCAGCCATCGGGTGTGGTCCATTCACCAGCTAAGTGGCTGGTGAGTCCGCTCTGGCATCCTGGCAAGCCATTCAAATTTGTGTCTCAGCAATTACCTCATGGCGGAGACCTTTCAGATCACGCAGTGGAGACGGTGTTCATCCATGAATATTCAGTCTGCAAATGCCAGTGGACTGCTAAATCCATGTAGCACGCATGAAAGTCCTCAGACGTGCCACGATCTCTCTGTGCTGTTCTTCTATAAGCTCCTCTTTCTCTCCTGGAGTAGTAAGTGTCCCTGCCCCGTGAGCCTCACCTACTCGCCTCTCTTAGCGCCTTTCGTGCTGTGTCACCATAGAATGCTCACGCGGGTCTCCTTCAGTGAGCTGTTCACACTTCCAGGGAACGTGGCATCGTGTCTTGTTGCCCAGCTCAGGGCTCCCCGCCTAGGAGCTGCTCAGTAAATGTTAAAATGATTAAAGTTATTTTTTAATATGATAGAATATTATTTCCCATAACCTAACTAGAAGCTTTGTCTCCTTACCTACAGCAAGACTATATTTTTATTCTAGTTCTTTCTGCATGGTACTTCTTTGTCCTCCCACTCTTCCCTCACGACATGCCTTCTTGATGGTAAGTGATGCCCTTTGTCTCTGAGCACCATATGCCATCCCAAGGGTCATCCACTCTAGGCACCAAGAAAGGGAAAGACTTCAATGACGAGACACTGATGACAATCATTCCTTGTGAATAACCTCATTCGAGTTTATTCTCAGAGCACAGCACAAATGTTCCTTTGTATGTCATGCTTTTGATGGTCTTGTGCATGACAGAGACCCTCAGTTCCCCCAAGTAGAGCCCCAGAGCACACTCTCTGGGATTCTGGCCTCTGCATCTCCTTTACAGTCCACTCCCTCAGCCTCCAATGACCCCATGCTCAGTCTTTTCCAGAAGCAGGGTGATCTCTGACTTTATTTTTCCTACTGGTTGACTCATTACTCAATTTGTCAAGTGTGCTTTTTAGAAACTCTGGGTTACAAGGGCCTATTTTCTAGTTGACCTTGGCAAGGGTATTCAGAAACTGGAGAACAGATTACCATGAGTTTTTGCCTCTGGAGCTGTTAAAAATGGAGATGGATTTCTACCTAGCTTGGATGTCCTGAAGACAGGCAAGAGAGCAAATGAATCCTCAAGGTCCAAGAGTTCAAGGTTAAAGAAACAACTTGACTTTTTGGTGTGAGCTCCCCCTCCCACCACTTCAAGTCAGAGTAATCAGGCTAAGCTCAATAGGAAGTGGACCGTGGCCATGGACTCTTCGCAGAAGGCACTTGGCCCAAGATGTGACAGCTGCTTCATGTAGCCTGTATGTATCAAGCCTTTCCCACCAGCCTCATATTACCTTAGGCTGCAGAGACTGTGAAAAAGGATGCCCTAGTTGCTCAGCTGTCCTGTTGAAGGTCACTCATGCCTGTTTCTGCCATATTTGAGTCCTTTTCTAGGTCCTTCTCCATAGGGTTTACTTCTCTTCTTTTAAACCCATGATTCTGCAAATCACGATTCTCCTCCTGGCTTCTCTGACTCCTTTTGCTTCCCCGTCTCCCACAGAGTATGCCCAAGGGTCTCTCCTCCCCTACCTGAACTCCTTCAGGGCATGTACCCATGCTACTGGTTTTAATTATTATTTTCCATGGATGTCTTCCAAGTTGGTCCCTCCAGCCCAAACATTTCCTCAGTTCAAGGCTAGCATGTTCACC